GGGGTTTTTTCCGCCTAAGGAAAGGATCTTGTCAGATTTCATGAGGATGAATACCTCTGACCTTCTCCTCAGGCCCCGACCTCGAGAGAGCTGGGATTACTCGAGGACCGACAAATTTTCTATCCCCACGTTCATGTTGAGGGTGGACTAGCCGATCCATAGTGTTTTCGAAAGTGGGTTAGTACAAAGTTTTGCCCAAATGTATAGATCTGAGCTTTTTGTGGGGAGAAGAGTGAAAAAGCAAACATTTTGAGATATTTTAAGAGAGATGTCAACAGGATAACTAGAAGAGTTGAAAACGTATGGGTCAGGTGGGCTGCCCATTCATCCGTACAAGGACAGAAAGGAGAGGGTTGGTTGTGTCGTCTTTCATTGAGTTTTTCAAAGAGAATTTAAAAAGGACGGTGTGGAAGAACCTTATCGGGGATCAATTTTTTATAGTGATGAGTTCCAGGTGTAACCCTTGATGGCCCCTTCCTTCTAGCACCATTCTATTAAAGATGGGTCCGCCAACGATTATGGTAAGATTTAGATATGAAAAGATTGCTTCAATTGTAAATGCGTAAAACAAAATGAGTCACGAATTTTGTCGGTCGGCTGTAGCGACTGGCAAGGAGAAGTTTCTCCAAGATGTTGATTAGGATTAGTGTATGAGAATTGGAGCCGAATATTTTGTGTATGATCTACGATAGATCAAATAAAGAGAGTGTGATCACGATGATATTTGGCCGAAGTGGGCTTATGCTGTCTTTAAGCTTAGTCTTTTTATGTGATTTCGTTGCCTTCTGTCAGGATTGAGATCCGGTATTTAACACGAAAAAAGGTGATGGTACATTAAATGAGGGTGTCAGCTAGGGGCGTAGGATGGCGTCACGTGTTTACATGCAAAAGTTGATGGGACATATCAAACGGCGGTACCAACTTTTTCAGAGCGTGTTCAGACCATCAGAGTGACCATCAATTTTCCCCGAGAAGCTTCTGCGGATGATCGTCGTGTCGATCGAGTGACCAACAACCCTAATGGTGATCACATGGGAAAATTGTGGAGTGATCTTCATGGTCTTGGGCCTTATTTCTTTACTTGGGCAGAAATTAGAACGTGGGCCACATCATTCCTTGTGATCGGATATTTTTGATAGAACATTATGCTTCTTTAATAATAGTAATAAATATTTTATTTTTATTCACATTTTTAAAATATATGATAATTCTAATAAAACTATGAACATTTTATAAAATGTATGAGTGTTTAATAGTCATACTTATCAGTGGAATGATTGAAATGAATGATATAATGGACATTGCTAATGGTACAAATATATGTATTGTTTATTTTAAATATTTTATATGTCCTTATGTTCCTAAAAACTACTCGTTCTTGTGTACATGGAAATAAAATTTTGTTATGAGTGTCTATCTAATAATAAGTTAGATAGTGAGCATATCACATGTTATAAATTTTATCATTAGTAAAAATGAACAATACAAATATAAATTAGTTCACTTATTTATTAATTTTAGATATATATATATATATATATATTTTAGATATATATATATTATATATATATATATGTGTGTGTGTGTGTAAGGGGTCATATGAGAATGGTAGATAGTGAAAGAAATAAGGATGATCATGCACCATGGGATCAATTATATCAATGGACATGATGAAGTCAAAAAATAAATATAATGGTCAAACTTTTAGTGGCAAAATTGCAAATATATTATCATATCATGGACAAATAAATACACTAGAGGACAATGTTGTAATTTCACTAAAATTAAAATGCAGTGGGCCCCAGCCATAATATTCAGTGAATTTTTTTTTAACCATGTTGAAATGACTAACACAAATTTTAGCCATAGTTTCAAAAAAAACATTTTTTTTAGCCATTTTGGCACATAAAAAGGCTAAAATACCCTTAATATCAATTTTTTTTAAAAAAAAATAATCTCTCTTCTCTCTTACATTTCAACTAACTTCATTAACACTTTTCATTAGTATCAACAAAAAAAAAATCATTCTCTTAAAAAAAATAAATTCTCTATATTCATTCCGGCAACATTCCGGTGATATCTCGAAAATATTACTGTAAAGGTATTGTTATAATTTATCATCTTTTTAATGGGGCACATATATATATTATTCAAATTTAATAAAATGAATATGGAAAAAAAAAAATTGTAGAAAGATTTCTTAAAAAATTGAATGATTTCTGGGCCCAGAAAGCGATTTCTGACCTAGAAATCACATTTCCGATCCAGAAATCGATTTCTGGACTGTCTCGTTTCTTGTCCTAGAAATCGATTTCTGACCCAGAAATCACATTTCCGACCCAGAAATCGATTTCTGGATAGTTTCATTTCTTGTCTAGAAATAGATTTCTGACCCAGAAATCGATTTCTGACCCATAAATCACATTTCCGACCCAGAAATCAATTTCTGGACAGTCTCGTTCTTGTCCTAGAATTCGATTTCTGACCCAGAAATCGATTTCTGACCAAGAAATCACATTTCCGACCCAGAAATCGATTTCTAGATAGTCTCGTTTCTTGTCTAGAAATAGATTTCTGACCCAGAAATCGATTTCTAACTCAGAAATCACATTTCCGACCCGGAAATTGATTTCTGGATCATCTTGATTCTTGTCCCATAAATCTATTTCTATCCCATAAATCACATTTAAGACTCAGAAATCGATTTCTTGGTCAGAAATCTATTTCTTGAAATTCAAGAAATAGATTTCTGACCAAGAAATCGATTTCTTGCCAAGAAATTGATTTCTGGCCCATAAATCAATATCTGGGTTAGAAATGTGATTTCTGGCCCAAAAATTGATTTCTGGGACTAAAAATCCAATTTCTGGACAAGAAATCGATTTCTTGTCCCAAAAATCTGTTTTGAATCACAAGAAACACGGTTTATGGGATCTCAAAAACAGTAGACACATCCCAAAAATATTTTTTGAATCATATGAACAATTTGTGGGATTTCAAAAATTATTTTATAAACCATTTTATTTGTTTTATTATAAACATTGATTACTTAATTTTCAATTATTTCTTGCTAGAAATTGTTTGTCATTAAATACTTTTACATCTTTGTTTTCAAGATGTGTGAAAAAGTTCGAATTGTGCATAGCGGATTTTGGGATGAGAATGTTTATAAAAATAGACAGGCAGAGATGAACTTTATGCGTTTGGTGAGTTATAAAATCAGTTCAACCCAACTAAGAATATTCTCATAAAGACAAATAGGAAAAAGAGAAATCAGATGGTGTAATAAAATATGAAACATTAAGATAAATTGAGCACATGATAAATTCAGATGCATCCTCCAAGTTTCACAGCATAAAACCATTCAGGCAAATGATTATGTACATGAGCAATATCTACAAAACATCATACCTACAAATTCAACAATCCTCAAAACAACAAATACAATGGTCACATTTTCACTCACATACACCCTTTTAACAGCAAATACAATGGTCACATTTTGACGAAAAATGCCACAAAAACCAATCTCATAGTTTCGTTTTGGTTCGATTTCGTTTATCTGCATGTTAATTGCTCAATATTTTCGAGTTGATTAATCAAACCAAATATCTGATGGCGTAAGTAATTCCTGATAACGCTTCAAATATTAGGTCCAAATGCAAGATAGATGTAACCTCAAGGTCCTCAAAGTACCAAATACATTACAATTTGCAATAACATTACACAACAAAAGCCCAAAAAAATGACATTAATTCGACACGGGAATACTATGAGCATAAATTGCTAATGCCATTTTCTTTCTATATGAACTGATGTTCGGCTCCCGGGGAATGTCCTCGCCAAGCATACGTTCAACGTACATACAAGCATATACTCCACAACTATGGATATCATCTTGAACAAACTGAACTTCACTCAGCATTCTCTTAATCGATAAGGCATCTAACTTGGGCGGAGTTTTTCTAGCAGCAAAGTAACCGGACCGGTGAAGTAGTGTGGGAAGCAATCGTCAGAGAGGGGTCAACATAAGCTTTCGGTCGTTACACGTCTTCGACGATGAAAGGTGGCTAATGGAGTCGTAAAGCTCGATCTCCCAGTTCAGTAACCGTACCCGGCACACCACCCAATGCTCGAGAACATTACATAACAAAATGACCTGTCATCCGAAGTTACAAACCAACAATTTTATAAATGTTACAAGTACATTTCATACTTTACCAATAATTAACACAACATCAAATAGCCATTTTTTTGTTAAGGAACATAGTTTTATTAAGAACAAAAGAAAAACTTACTTGGGATTTGTATGCCAAGGAGATCTCCAACGAATAGCAGTACCACGAACATAATTTACCAGACCCGGAGGAACATTCCTTCTCTCATAATTTGTGTCGTCTAGATAACTTTGCGTACATTGAGGATCGTCGGGATGAAGCACTTTCCATTGATTCGACAAACAAGCCCTGAAAACAAGTATTAAGCATCAACAAAAAAAAAAGTATTAAGCATCAACATGAATCATTCAACAAAAATATAAATTAATTAAGAAATAATATAATCAGTGGAAAGAGCAATTACAAATAGAGCGCAATCCTGAATGTTAGTTGTTGAAACAGATACTCCCGACTTAAAAAATGCATTGATATGCTACAAAAATTATAATTATATTAATTTTTTGAACTACTACATTCGAGTACTGAAATTCAATTCTAAAGAACCATTACTTACCTCATTAGAAAGCATATTCCTGGCACCCTCAATGTTTTTTTAAAAAATCTGGCCCTTGATTATCAAGTAGGTTATAGCCCAACGTTTAACCTAACAACAAAATAAACGTTTAACCCAACGTTTAACATGAAATATGGGTAGAAGAATATTAGCGAACATGTGAAGAAAAAATAAGAGCTCAACAAAATATTCAAATTTATGCATAAAGGCAAGCTCATGCACTTTGTAAGGTGGAGACGAACAGTCGAACATAGGTTAAAGGAACTTACATCAGAAGAAACACTGTGAGTGCCATATTTGTCATCCCAGTACATGGTACTAATCCTGTATAATTGTTGTATACTTAGCACCTGTATGAATGATGAAATTATTTAGAATTCAAAATGAAAAACAAAATGGAAAAAGAAATGAGAATAAGAGAGAGAGATGGGTGCAGGGAGGTTCACTCACAGGACAAAGTTCCTTCGTAATTTCATTCAAGGTCCTCTTGGGCTTTTGATGGGTGACCTAATATAGCAGTCAATAGAGGATCCATTTAGACCAGCTAATTTAAGAAACAAAAAAATGAGGGTAAATAAATCATCAAGACTGGGAACTGAAAGCGAATTTTGATACCCACCAAAAATCCGACAGCCTGCTTGATGTGCTTCAGTTCATCCCAAGCTGAGCCTACATACTGTACAACAAAATATGTTGGTAAGACATTCATTGAGGTCCCAACAACAGAATACTAATGAAATGCTTACTTCCTCAGTCGCATAACAACACCATTGCTCTAACTCAGCTAACCCAGCTTTCACATACTCTCCACTGCTGAATGAGCAACACTCGCGCCGTAAAAGAAGACTGAGTAGTTTGAAAGAAAATAAAGTTAATTCCCAAATATAGGAGAAAATTTTCAACTGGGCACTAATCATATTAGGCGATATAATTCCCTAAAAGACAGACTTGCCTGTTGAATAATTGGACATTGATAAATGAGAATGTTCGAGTGAAAATCTTTCGCAGTAAGAAAACAGGAATCTATAAAAAAAACATTAGAGCAACATAAAAACTTTCAACTGTGAGAAGAAAAGAGAAAAAGTAAGCAAACTTTGAATCAAGAGAAAAACATCTTACCTTACATAATTTGCTTTCATAATCTTCAAGGAATTGTCCAGGTTTTTCACAATGCTCTGCCAATGAGCAATTAGTGCTTGTTGAGCAACAGCATTTGCTTGTGAGCGTCCTTTCACTAACCTAGCACGGGATGTTCTGGGGGCCTGCACGAAATAAGGTTTTGAAACCGAACAGGTATCAGCTGTTTGCTCAACCAAACCCACACTTTTCTAGATTTTCAAGTAATAATGAATTAGCAACAACTCCTTGAGCTACATTGATCAGCTGTTTGCCTAGAGTTAATCACAAATTTACCCCCATCTTCCTTGGTATTAGTGCCTAATTCCATTAATAACACTGATGTACATATAGGATAATAGAAAAGGATGAACCAGAAAGTATTATGCAAATTAACCAAAATAGACAGAAAAAAAAGGTCATCGTGGGAACAGGAATGTCGTTCTTGCATCCCTTTATTGTATTAGGATTTCCTTGAATCATTAACACCCACAAGATGTACAAAATACTAAGGGTTGTCTAGTATTGCTAGATGATGATTTGTTGCATGCATGATTTATTGCTAGAATTACCTGGATACATAAACCAAGCAAAGGGGAAATCTCTTTCTTCAGATTGTCCCTGATCAATCCATATATCTTTTCCAGGAAAGCAGTAAGTTGTTGCTTAAACAACAACGCAGGATACTTGGCTTCACCTTGCCTCAAGTCATCAAGTCTACTAAGCAGCCGGTTGTTGAGAAATGACCTATGTGGAGATGCTCTCAAACCCTTCATACGTAGTCAAGAAAAATATAGGCATAAGAAATTGATAAATGTCATAGCAGGACACATGGAGAGACAAGTTGTAAAGGATAGGTGCATACCTGTCACATCCTCCCAAAAAGAGAAGCTGATGATGTCCTTCGCCTTTGGGGGGTCAAGCTAGCTGCTCCACTTGCTTTGAGGGTGTGTTGAAGTAGCATCAACAGTGTGGATGCATTACATAACCAGTAAGCTAATACATCATTATTATCAGGAACCTTCACTAGGATTTCAAATAAGTAGTGTTTGCAATGGTAAATTGGCAGCTGGACAAGATATATAGATAAATTGCATTATATATGTATGTATGTATGTGTGTGTGCGTGAGAGAGAGAGATATATCAAGTTCACCTCTACTGCTGAAGCTACAGTTTGAATAATGCGGTCAAACACACTAGTCCTCTAAACCTCAAATGACCTCCAGTGGAGAAGGCTTTTGTAAATGACACAAGCGGCAACTGGTTTGCCACCCGAAAATCCCAAATCTTGTGAAATGCACTTTATCAGGAGGTCCTGGTTTTCCTAATGAAGACCAACAGATTTTGATGTATGCATTAGAGAAAACAATTATTTTTGGGTTTAGACGAGATATAAATTAATAGAAAGCGGCACACAACATAATATTAAATTTGATATACACAACGAGCAACCATTTACTTACTGCTTATCATCAAGAGATTTCTACGGCCTTTCCTCAAATTCAGGCTCCTTTGGAGTTGCCAGAACAAGGGCAGCGGCCTATGACAAGCGACAATTCGTAAGCATTACAAAATTCTAAAGCTAAATATTCACACAGATGGATCAATTTCACATTTCCAAATTAGAGCGTAAGCTCTGCCTTACATGTGCAAACTTTGTTTCTCCATTTAGTATATTTCCATTTCTCCGGAGTACTCTGTAATGATATCAGGAAAAAATAAGAATATCTCAATCCCAAGGATGGCTCAGAACAATATATATCAGCATTACCTGAATAATAGTCGTCCTGGGCCGGACAGACATGGACCTTCCTGTAGGTGACATGGTCAGAGCTTGTTGACGAAGTACTTGATTCTTCTGATTCAAGGTTTGATAGCTTCTCTTCAAACATGACATGAAAGATTAAAAATCACAAATAATGAAACGCAAGCAAAACATGTCATTAGAATTTTGGTGGCAGTAATTTGTTTTGATTTAGGGAGCTAACTAGAAACTTTCTTCTTTCACCATTCCTTTCAGTTTCTGCCCCCGAGCAGGAAAAATGTTAACTCTAAACACAGTTTGACTTATTAATACTGAAAAGACAAATACAGAGAAAGTTGATTTCTTATGGTGAATAATTTTGTGTTCGAACTAAACATTACAAAGGGATGGAGCACTGAAGAAGCAACATAAGTATTTAAATCTTCGCCTCATTCAAATACCAGGAACAATAATTATCAATCATAACAACAAGTGTACATATAAAAATTAAATCTTGCCTGCACACTTTTAGAAATTTTACTTCGAATATAAAATTTACTTCTTACTTTTCATGTAGAAAATAATAATTTTTATGAATCAACACAAACTCAAACATCAAGACTCAATATGCAACCACAAAAGGGCCCATCTTAACAAGAGATTTAGCAATAGAAGTGTAACACCCCACTTTGATTTTAAAGAAATTCCGGACTTTCTAAATATCAGTATAAAATTTTCAAAATCATTTTCGAAAATTCAATGGATGTTAAACAACATTTTTCATAACCCAAGTCTTATATGGGCTCACGGGGATTCATTACCCGGTTTTCACAGACGGTTTTCATTAACCGAAACACATCACGAGACATAATACTCAACATGCATATGTCATCAACCATACTACCCAACAATCTGTGTTTCACAAATTTTCCAAAACAACAAATCATAGGTTTTTGGAAAATATCATAATCAAGTCTCAACATAATGGTTCATAAAACCTTATTCGTACGGAAGCGATAAACAAATAAAAACAACCGACCCACTCGTCTCTTCTCGTCACCCAGCTCCTGCTAAACCTGCATCGGTAAAGAGCAGGTGGGGATGAGCACTAGATGAAAAGCGTGCTCACCACTATGCACATAAATAATACATGTTAAGATGGTATGGTCGCAGTATGAATATAAATCAATCATCATCATGTCTCATCTCCTAATCTCAACAATAACTCACTCATGTGCACATCTATCATTAGCCGCGGAAAGGGGATGCATAAACCCTAACGACGGGAGTGCGTGCCACTGTAACGGACACGGCCTTTCATTAGGTCTTAAGGAGACTTGCCTCGCAAGGGCAACCGTACCGTAACTCGACGGGGACAACCGTACCGACGGCCGTAACAGCTCACATCAGTAGGCCACATGGTTCATATTCATACATAGGTCATACCAACCAAACGCTTAAACACACGTATGGCATAGATAACTTTATAAGTAAAACCCACCTGGTATCCGGAGGATGAAATCACAGAAATTCGAGGAAAAGGTAGGCCGAGACACAGCTCGTCACACACCTACATTACACAAAATAGTCCTATGAAAGACTATCTAACACACAATCACTTAACTACACTCATGCAATATAAATTAGCCACATACTTCAACAATAACACATAACATAACTGTAGACCAAAAATGGGAATGAACAACTCGCATGGTCTCAATATTTCCAAGGTAACATGAGCTATAAGCATACTATTCAAGTGATTCCAAAACTAACAAGTAGTTAACACATATATACACAACTGTTATGTTGATCACTTAAGCCAAAAATAGCTTTACAGCCGAGTTTAAGCGTAAGACACTTAGGTAAAGAAATCTGCCAACGCAACTTTTATCAATTACAGCAGGTCGCTAAAACAGAGATATCTCATGCCACAAAATTCTAAATCATGCAAACTAAAAACTTACAGAAACTACACTTGAATTTCTATAAGTTTAAAGAAGAGAATTTTTACAAATAACCACGTTAAGGGCTTCATTTCAGAGTATACATTTCAATCGTAAACACAACCACTGTTTTAAAAATCTAGGCATAACCCCAACTTTGAAAAATCATATAAAATCAAACAGAACTCCAACTAACATGATTCCAACTCTCTGAGAAACCTTATAACATATACTACAAGTTTCATGTTGATAATATTTTCACATAGTCACATTAAGATTGTCAAAAACGGCCCAACATCATGATTCTCAATTCTGCCCGAAATTTCAACAACTGCTTGCACAATCTTTTTGTAAAAATCATAACTCACAATTCTTAAGATAAAATCATAACATTTAGTATGCAGACTCATAACACATATATAAACATGTCCAAAAAATTTTATAATTTTATCCTAAGTAGAACTCGAGTTATTCGCGTTTGAAGTCGTAGCTGAAATTTGCCATATAAAATGAACTTGCATACTTATCTTCAAAAATCTATAACTCGAGTTATACTAGTCTAAACGACTTGATTCTTGATCTTATAAACTCCTCTTTTACACAAAAAACAGCCATATAAAGCATAGTTTCTCAGGTTTTTCATAGCATAGCAAAAATGCAAGCAAACAACACGTAAGAAACACTCATGCGAGCTAGGACGACTTTAACTTCTTGCATGCCTATAACTACTTAAAGACTGAACATGTATGGCACATATATATATCATTCTACTCCTTATCTCATCTATATTAAAATTCTAGAAAGATTTGAGCACACCAACCTCTTAATCTTCAAGAAAATGCAAAAGAAGTCGGGTATACTCGAATGTTGCCTTCCTCTTCTTGCTCTCGACTTTGAGCTTAATCTCTTCGACTTTTATTGAACTTGAAGCCTCAAAACACTTCTATGGGGAGTGTATAATGAGTTAAGAGTGATACTATGCTAAGGGGATGAAGGTTTGATGCATAGAACATGAAACTAAGCACAAGTGTGCACTCGG